CTGATTTGATATTATATTCTTGTCGACATTCTGATCACGGTGCTACGCAGCCATTCAATATTTCTTCGATAATACCCGGTAGCCTGACCTGTCTTTTCGATATCATATGGAAAAATGAAAGTTAAGTAAATATGATAAAATCTTGATAAAGAGTCTCACCATCTCTTAGCTATATAAATGGTAAGTTAAACTGAACTTTGGCCCCGACACGAGCAGAAAATGTAACTACAAAACAGTAACATTCTATACTAGAGAAGTAGAAGGGCAGAGGTGTATCCACTTCTCCTTGTCAGCGTTCATGTATTTACATGTATTGAGGAAAGCATGCGTCGACCACTCTACAATTTCTGTCGACTGGGCTACTTACTGATGGGCTACTAACTTTGGAGCAAAGTGCCCATTTCCATAAACTCACAGATGAGGAGCAAAAAGCATACATTTAAATTGTTACGTTCACGTGAACTTAAAGAACTCAGTGTACCAGATTTTATTCATATTTAACTCGCGAATGGCTTATTGGAATTGGGTCATATGCACAGCAAGCACAGTTCTATTACGAATAGGTTTTTTTGTTAACGATTAGTATATTTCACTCTGAAAAGTAGAAATTTGGAGATGTCTATACACTGTAAACGTGAGCTAATATAGTCATTTGGGTGCGAAACTAGTCAAATACACTCAGTACTTTAGTTGAGTAAGCATTTTTAACTATTTGGGTCCCGGACTAACACTGCAGGCTGATATTTATGTGTATTAGTCAAAATTCGCCAGGGCTGCATTGATTAGGCATGATTAAGTCCTATTTTCAAAAAGTGGTATATATGACTATTTCTGGCATGTTCTGCAGCTTGTTTTGGTAGATATAAAGCATCTGCAATATCAGAACATGTACATATTCAACCACTGGAAACTGACGTGTGCGCCTTAGTACTGATTGAAAGATTTTTATCGATCTTGGACGACTAATTAGTCTAGTCTCTATTACTAGCCACTAAGGAACTTTACCGCATCGTATACATATCACGAGTCTGGGGAGCTATGTTGATGGATCGCCAGCACATTGCTTTGGAAGTTGGATGTAAGTTCAAATCTTCTTAATTCCGTTCTTAGTCAATCCTTTCGTGTATTTATAATTAATGAGCGACAACGGTCGCTCTCGAACTTCCCAAAGCTCTGGAACGCGCTCGACATTGTTTACCACAACCTTTTTGACAACAGTAGTTACAGTTTTGCCTTTGAGGAAGATTCTGCTAGGATCGAAACGTCAGGCCCTTTTTTTGCAAGAGATCTATCCACATGGTGTTACCGCTAGCCCTCTCTTCAGTCTATCTCCACCATGCAAATCTTCAAGTCTTATCTATCTCTTTTTTTCATAAAACCTGACTATTCATTTTCCTCAGTCTTTATGGACCTAATAATTATACCCTCAAAAACAAATTCTTGGTTGTGGTAGTGATGGTGGAAGTGTTGTTACTTGTCAGTTTGGTGCTTTTCAAATACTCCACTGTAGCGCCTCTTGTACATTTGCTTGAAGTGGAAAGCAGCGATCCTTGCTGAATCGTTATGGACTTCAAGAACGGATTTGACTTGGTGCCCCACGGACGTCCTTTGAGGAAGCTTCATAATATCGGCATCGGGAATAATACTAAATAATACAATAATAATAGTGGATTAACTGCTGCTTTCAACACTTTCACGGTTATTTCTGGGGTTCCCCAGGGAAAGTGCCTGGCCAACTTCTATTTTTCAAAGATATATTAATGATATACCAAAAAAACATGCCTTGCAAGTAAGACTCATGCCGATGATTTCATTAAGAACAAAAACTTCATCAGACTCTGGTAACTTAGCGGGACATCAACATACTTTAATTAACAGTGAGTGAAGTCATGTCAAATATCAATGTTTCCAAATGTGACGGACCGACTTGAATCAAGTCTAATCTTGGAATATGTTATGAGTTTGGTAACCATCCGAATAGTCATAATAGTTCCCACCCCGTCATGCTTGTAACCAGTATTTAAAGAGCTCGATGGGATATGAAATGGTCAGTTGTTTTTAACTAGTCATATTGCTTGATTTATACATGTATGCCTATGAGGCTGGATTAGCTCAATGGTTATATTTCTACAAAACTTTGACGCATTATTCTTGCGCAACGTACTTTGCCGTGGCGTACGTGCGATTCTCCCTCTCTCTGATCGAGTTGTGTTGGCACATAGGCTAACGTGAGTTGTCGTTCTTCATCAAGCTTTCAAATTTTGTTCACTTTAATTTTGCGTTTGGGTCGTGTTGACATTGCAGCCTTCTTTCATCAACCTTGTGACTACGCTAGCTTTTTGTCGTTGGTTGATGAGATCCAAAATAGGACATTTGGCTTCCTTTCAGTTCCGCATATTGTAGAGAAAGTTTTGCGCATGTGTCGTGTGACCGACGACTGTTGCACGTCAGCGACCTGACGACTGTTGTGTGTATTTTGTGCAATAGATTTACTCAGAGGAGAGAGGCTGGTCCGCACAATGCCCCTGGGAATTTATTAAAAGTTAACGTATAACGCCCTTGGGCATTTATTAAAAGTTAACGTATAATGCCCTTGGAAATTTAGTAAATTTTAATTTACAATCACCTAGAAACCTAACTTTATATTCTCAACTCTTGAGGAGTCTCATCTTCATAAACAAATACACTTCTGGTTATTGTCATACTTTAGGTCTTCCTCCGTGTTTATATTATAGTGTAGCCTATGCTGTCTCATAATTGTTGGATTGAATAATTAAATCTAATCTGAAATGCAATCACGGAACATCATGTTGTACTGAATACATATATTATTCTTTCATTAATCTGTGATCACTAAGCAGTTTCCTGTCCTCAATTAAAAAGTTGAGTGGACCCACTACGTCAAAGTGGCAACACCCCCACGTAACCGTGACACAAATATTACTACTTGAAGGTTACCGAAAGAACGCAATCCACTTCAGTTATTATATGGACGACAGGAGTTGTGATTTGAAGTCATAATGACATTTTGTACTTTACCATGCAGTTATTTTGTAAAGGCGTCTTTCCAATACGGGCGATTCATAACAGTGCGCCTCCAAGAGTTTGCAACCCGTTCACCAATCACAAGGCGCGAAATCTGTCGACCCTTTCCAAACACGCATTGGGTCGACAGATTTCGCAAAAAAGATTGGTCAACACGCTACAAACTCTTGGAGGTGCACTATTGTGAAACGCCCGTATTGTGCGTCAACGCTTCAGCCAAGCGTTGCGTATCTGTCAAAATCGCTCCTCAGTGGGGCGATTTTGACTGCCGAACACAGCGCGCACGTGTGTTATGTTAATGGTGACAATTTTTGTGTCCAGGAAAGTTAAACACGTGACTGCATCGTGTACGTAAGCACCCAAAAAGGTACATTATATTAAGGCGCCTTAACACAGGTGGACGCTGCTGTAAGCACTGATTGAAAAATAGCGTGGTAATGCGGCAAGCTGTAACGTGTACGTGCATGTCTGAGGCAAAAATAGGATATACGTATACAGAAGTATAAATAAAACAATCGAGGGGCAAATTACATAAATACGGCACACTATCTTATGCTGTCTTAGCACGTGTAGTATGGTACAGCCTGTATACACATGATGAGGAAAAGTGAAAGGGTCGTATACAGGTATTACGTGATATAGACTTAGGCCTCTACCCACTCTTACCGCCCTAATTGAAACTAAAAGGATTTGTCACTGTTAAATCTTGTTACATACGTGACATAACCATTCTAGGTGATGTAATGAATTTTTCTTTAGGTTCACGTTGTCATATGTGGAACGACTGACACACGTAAAAACCTGGCTGCTTTAAATTAAACATGCGCTTCGTGTGACTGATTAACCTGTTGGGAAAGCACTGCATCCGACCAAACACTAAAATACTGGCGTGCTGGGAATTCATTAGATGCAAAGTGTTTACTGTGGCCCGCATGCTTTATGGTGACGTTGTGTTACCGGGTTACTGGCTTTCAGAAAATCTGGGCTACAGCGCCCTCCACTAATGTTCGGTGAATGTAGCACAACTTTATAAAGTGCATGGCATCCAAAGTGTCAATAAATGTGACCAAAGATCGTGTTACACGGTAAATGCTGCGGGTTCGTTTCTCCAGGGAAAGTGAAATGGCAACCACTGTATTTTATGAGCACCCAGAATTAGTGAAGTCAAAACTGCTGGGAGATAGAGGTGTGGACTGTTGTCGTTTAGTCTTCAATTATAAGGTGTACAAAGTTCAAGCACAGAGTGGATAAACAACCCGTCTTTGCCTCTGCTCGTCCGCGTCATTAGATTATGGGTGCTCTCCCAGCGTTGGCCTGTATACAGTGTGAGCATAAAACTGGAGGCATCAAACTTGATGCGCCAGCACGGAACGTGACCGGGTGGAGCTGAAGTCTTGATGTGCTCTCATTGACAAATCACCTGTAGGACTACGAATAAGTGAATATGACTCCTACGATCTGACAGCAGCTTGCTTGTTTTGTGTGAAGATCAAACAGGCAAAGTGCCGGGTGTGTTGCTTCGCGACTGCATTAATTAACAGGACGTTTGTTCTAATAGTCCATTGAGATTCATTCTTATGGTTTGTGCGTTACACGCACGACGCTCTGGAAGATTTACTAGGACAAAATAATCGGTCTGAAAAAGTAATCATATCATCACATTGGGCTATAAGTTTTGTTGTTATGTTTTTGGTACAAATCGTCGTGTGAGATAAAGATTTATGGGATGCGTGAAAGGGGTTTTTGTGGACCATGATTTTTCAAAAATACCAGATAAATCAACACGTGTGGATCAATGTAAAAATTCTAACTTAGCACCCGGAGATTAGGGATTGTGATTCAACCCAGCTTAAATCTGACCGGCTGGAAACAAACGGCCAGATTTGGACCAGTGGAACGTTGAAGACAGCATCAGACTCAAAATGGATGTAACCAGATCTATCCCAAACGGCACAATGCAATGGGATGAAAACCTGGATACCAATGACAGAGCTAGTGCGACCTTTTTGGTGATGTACAACGTGCTCATCATCCTGATAGGTGTGCCAGGCAACAGTCTCATACTTACGGTGTACTGGGGAAAATCCCACAAGTGTAGCACCCACATCTTGATCATGGCACTTGCCGTGGCTGACCTCATCATCTGCTTGCTCCGAATCTGGGACGTCACGTGGAACTGTTCCGTTTTGGCGGGGGCCGACATCCCCGACCTCAGGCTCCGCTTCAACTGTTTCGACTTCACGATGGTCGGCACCTCGATCTGGGTGACCGCTGTGATTGCCTTGGATCGCTACGACTGCGTGTGCCGACCCAGCCGGCGCCGCATGAGTGACGTCCGTGCAAAGAAAGCCGTGGTGGTAGGCTTCGCCATTTCAACGATAGTGAACACACCGCTCTACATAAAAGTAGCTTTGGAGGACGAAGGCTCAGTTGCTCTTGATATGGTCATGTATGTTTTACAAATCACTTCCTTCATCCTTCCAATTTTAATAATGTCTGTTTGTTACACTTTGGTATTTCTTACGATAAGGAAACACGTCAAAGGTAGAGTGGTACACCCCAGTGACGACGAGGTAATAAATGTCCACGAAAACTGTTCAACCAGATCGCAGAAGTCCTTGTGCGTGTCTGGACAAGTACGTGTCTCCATTCGACCATCTCCGGGTCCCTTCCCTGAACTGTTCCAACAGCCAAGATCTCCATTCAGCCATGTCCCTAAAGAGACAACGTCAGATAAAACGAGACGCAGAGAAAATCTACGGCAGAAGATTGGGCACAAGCAGTTCGTAGCCAGCTTGTATCCTGAAGGTGGGGCGACCAGTTCGGCGACATTACCTCGAAGACTCGGCTGCCGGCGCAGCCAGTCCCCATCACCAGCTCTGCAGCGTCGGACAACCCTGATGCTCTTCATCACTAGTGTCGTATTTGTGTTGTGCTGGATGCCGTTCTGGATCAAGGTCCTCTATGAGATCTTTGGAAATGCTTCGGTCTTTCTGAACACCTTCATGGAAACTCTGTACCTGAACAATGTCATTAATCCCTTCATTTATGGACTAGCTAATAGACGATTTCGGAAAGACTGTAAAGATGTGTTCCGAAGGATGCGAAAATGTTAAAGATCATTCATTGTGGCAGCAAAAAGTCCATTTTTTTCCTGATCCGTACTGTAAAAACACTCAATGGCAAATGTGAGTACTGTGCTGCGTACCTGTGAATTTTATCGTTACAATTTATTAGCTCGTACTCCACAACCAGAAAACATGGGAACGGCGAAAATCATCAAGTCTTTAAACTGCCGCGACTGATTAGTGATACGAATAGCCCATAGAAACATGGAAGGGCTGTGTAGTACCGTGATCAGAATATCGACGAGAGTATAATATCAAATCAGTGCTCTGAAATATGTGGTTGCCGAGCTTTTGGTAACTGAGTACCTTCTATAGGGCAAGCAGATTCAGTTCTGAATGAACGCGGAAAAATCCACGTTCCAAGTTCGAAAATTACGCGCTGCTCCAATTCCCTACGTTGTACATCAGATGACGCTTTCCGCAGGATGCAGACGCTTACGTCACCGAGGGTATGTGGCGGCGCGCCAAAGTGCTGCGCAACAGTGAGACCAGGTGTTTGTTGGCGCACACTGCGCAAGTGTTCCGCGAAGCAGTCACCAAGGCGACGCTTGGTCTCTCCGATGTATAGTTTACCACAGCGGCGACATGTAATGCAATAAACCACATTACTCGTATGTAGGGGAATGTAATGTATGTGGGTTTCAGAGCCGTTTCGAGCGGGATTGAAGATACGGTGTTGAAGGCAGCGTCTGTGATAACCTGAGGGTAACCGCGCTGATGAAAGAAACCCAGCATTTCCTTTCCACGTTCTCTACGCATAACACCTGCCCTACATAGTTGACAGCCCGTCGGTCGTCGGCCCCCGCGGTAGCTACAGAATACGCGGGGATCATACATGCATGACTAGTAACGTGGTTTGTTGTACATTGTTTAAAGTACATTGGGCACTGTAGCTCGAACGCCTGAAGAAACCTGTAGAGAGGAGACAATGAGAAGTTGCAGTTTTAGTGGTGGGAAGAAAACACCAGAAAAATATTTTGGGTAAAACTCACGAAATCAGGTAGGGACTGAAAACCCAATCCACATGTGGACCACGGAGGTGGAAGGCGTGGAAAGAACCGCTTCGCCAACCCGACCCCCAACACACCATGGCCTAAAGGAATGACAATACAGTTAGAATGATATATAATATTCGATATTCACCTTTGTACAGCAAATGTATAGGATGTATAGTTTGATGTTTGATATTCTACATTCACGACGTCCAAAGTGTTTAACAGCTACGAGCTTCAGCACGCGCGTTACAGGATCTAGATGTAGCCTATCAGATGTAGCCAATTAAGGGCTAACATAGCCGGCGTGCCGTTGCTTACCACAGCATGACTTTCCGAAGGAGTCGTATTTGGAAGTTTCTTAATAGATGGGCCAGTACTCTAAATAATAATCCATAGAATTATTGAAAAAAATAGAAAAATAGGAAAACATTCTTCATAATAATCGTAGAAACTTGATGCTGCTGGAGTTATGATTCCCTATGTATAGCTTTGAATAGAATTGAGGTTCCACCATCCATTTCTTGCTTTTATGGCATTCCTCAGGATTACACCTTCGCTGGGCTTTAAGAGTGGGTCTGGTATGGAATAAACCTTTTTATTAGGTCTTTGGAGCACCAACATTTGTCATCTTAATCATCCCCTTCTTTGGTGATAGCTGTTTCATTTCATGAAGGCAGCAAATAAAAAAAGCTTGATGTATATGTCTGCATAACCTAGGGTGTATGAAAAATCTTATTGAAATCGGAGGTTTTGGGCTGTTTGGGTTAACTCCTTAGTACTCAATATCGGTGGTTTTTGCTAATTATGGATTGATTTGCACCTAAAAAGAGGGCTTGTAATCGTTAATATAAAACGCACCTTTTCGCTTTGTTTGTAATTTTAATTTCATTTTCATTATCTTGTCAGTGTCAGTGAAAGCGGAGTATATCGGCAATAATGCCTTTGGGGGAATTCAGTGAGAGATTTCATTTAATAATTTACGACTAGATTGTGATGGTTCCATTAAATACTGGGTTATATCATGACTACCCTATCACTTGTCAGACTTGAAGTCAATATCATTGCTCGTGCAATCAAAGGCAAGTGATCTTCCCGGGAAATTCTAAAAGCATAGGCCCTACACGGAAGGAAGTGGGAGCAATAAATTTTATGTGGCGTTAAAGAACTAAATAATCAAAACAAGGCTCGACAAAGGACAATACAGCGTTTCCTGTTCCCCACTCCATTTTCTTGAGTGCACGGTTTCGTGTCGTTGCTTTCTTGGACATCATTAATTCTTTGGCACAAAAACATTTTAATGCCACTCTATCATTTCCTTCACGGCGATGTGATGTTTAGTTCTAGATGGGGGTAAATGTTTTACAAAATCATCAATGATTTCATGGAGTTGAAGGGAAGGCTGTCTCGGTCATTATTGGTCATCTATAGAGAACACGCTCCCTTAGAAGTTGGCCAATACCCCATTTGGGCTCCAAATTTCATAATTAACAAGAATTGGATCCATGAGTTGTGTTAGTGTTGTTCGTTATTCCTCATCCTGGTTATTTTGTCTCATGTACATTTTTCCTAAAGTGAAAGTTTGCAGGCTTATTTTTTATAGTTTATGAATCCGTGACACCATTGCCAAAGTTGGTAAATATATAGTTGACATTCAGAGTTTGTATCTTTACAGTACTGCGTCCTAAACTGTGCAGTCCCATTAAATCGCCCTCATATTTTTGCGTTTACTAATTACTCTACATGCTCACTTCCAGTGTTTGGCTCTAATTGCATTCACACATATTTGTGTCTGAAAAAGTTTCTTATCAGAGTTTGTTTCTTTGTTGGTCTCACGAAGGCCGGTGTAACGGTCTCATTTTCCGGCGTGCTCGGATTTCCGGGTAGTAAGCAAACAGTGCGACCCAAACGTTGAGGTTCACTTCATATTATTGGTGTGCTGAGTTCCTACATCAAATGATAGGAAGGAAGGTAGGAGTTCGTGCACCTCCGTTGAAGTGATTTTCGCGGACATTTCGTTACAGTCATGGCGTTTATACAGTGCCAGGTTTGAAAGATACATGTACAAGCACAATATCACAAAACAAACGGTATCTGCGCAGTGGGTCGTGTACTTCTGCGATAACGGAATCGGCGAGGGGAGCATTAGGTCCCAGGCAGGGACCTAGGAAAGGTTAAGGGTAACTATAATAAAATGGGCGTATCTTAACCGTTGCGCATGCCTTTTTCGTCTAGGAAGTTTTGGGGCAATTATACACAAACTTTGAAGTATAAGACAACAAAAATTGCTTTTCTGGTCGACTTGCATAGTAGCTCTGTTAGAGGAGCGTTATACTTAAAACCAACAAGCTTAGTTAGTTCGTGGGAGGATGTTTTTTATAATAGAAAAGTAAAGCCAGAAGTCCAGACATTTACCTTAGCACTTCTAAGGATCTGAAAAGCGTGAGGGACTAGATGCCCTAGAAAAGAATCTCCGTTGAAATTTGGTGCCACTCAACAGGAGCAGACGGCCAAATATACGCCCAAGCCTTGATGTTTTCGAGGGCTCTGCTCTATCTTGTGCAGTCGCATTAAATTTGTGCCGGAAAGTAAGGGGCAATGGGGGAGGAAGAAAGATGGGGGGTGACATGAAAATTTGAAAAGCGGGAGAAGGTAACACAATATGACTGTATATAGAGGTCGATGATTATATTAATGTATATCTGTAATATGTATTCAAAATGACATATTTATGGCTTTTTAAAATTGTTTTTCCTTTTTTGAGTGATACTGAATGCATTTTAGTCGTGGGAAGTCCGAAAAACTCTTCGCAATCCACTTTAATTTTTTGTTTACCACAAAAAGTGGGACGGGGGATGATTCAATAGGTCACCCCACCCCCCCTTCACCCAAAAAAAGATGGAAGGGGATATTTACCCCCATCTCCCGGAATTTATGCCTATGATGCTCTTGTGCGTCTTGGCCCTGTAGAGGCAAGTAGGATGACCCTGTGGTCGAGTACCCTGACGAGAAATGATATTCGGGATTTTTGACGCATCGCAGCTACGAACATATTCCTTTTTTCTCCGGACAGATGTGTTTCTGCATGACTGTTGAGTTCGATACTGAAGTGCTCTTCAATAGGCTTAGAGCTGGACCAAGAGAGGGCGCGATTTTCTCAGCAACGGGGCCTAGGGCTCCTTTGGTTGGAACTGAACTGTTCGGTGGTTGACGAACGATAAGGAATGCATGGGTATACGGTGGGGAAAAAATGAACGCTCCCGACCAACGCGGCTCTTTTCAACCGATGAGGGTACGTGCTTCTGCACGCTCGAGGTGGTGCGTCACCAGGTTTTTTTTGGGGGGGGGGACCATTTTGAGGTTTGCCAAGCAAATTGGTGATTTTATCTACGTTTAACCTTGTTTTCGAATTCCTTTCGCGTTTCCTCACTTCTCCCCCGGTTTTATTTTTTAGGCCTGACTTCAGTGTGATTGGGTAACAACCTAGCCCTTGCATCAAGCTTCATTTGAGAATTTGAAGGCTAATATTGTCCAGTTTCGTGAAATGGTACTATAGCTCGGCAGTCACAGACAAACTCTGGCGTGGCCGATGGCAAGGTTATGGGTTCTTCAAGCTATCTCTGTCAAAGTCATGTATCTGGCAGCCCTGTCAAGAAGATGTTGTGCAGTCAAGATGATGCTAGAGCTATCAGACTCCTTCAGATTGCGCATGCAATCCTCACATATACAGAGCGATGCCCGTCTGCCATAGTCTTAGTTGCCCCTGATCACATTCGTGCAGGCCACCAACCATCCGGTTTAAAAACTGCAATCTCTAATTAATATCTTGAATTCCCGGTTTTGTTTTATGGGCTATCCACTTTTGCTTACCATGTACCACGAGAACGCTTTGGTTTAATAGGTGACTAAACAACACTGCAAGGGAGTGAGTTTCCTGCTTTTAGGCACTAGGTCAACATCTGCGTCCACGCTATATGTCTGTGAATGAAATTTAACTTTGTAATGTTTCCTGTGGAGATGACTGTTGATGGCAATATAACTTTTCGTAAAAGATCGGACTAAAATCTTTCATGTTTAACACAATCGGTGATAAAGCTGAAACGTTAAACAAATTTGACCATCAATGTTTTAACCAGTTTTTGAGGCATTACAATAGCAGCAACGTATCGCTGTTTCTTCTTTTATAGGGTCCGTGACATTTTAACGAGCAGTATTTAATAGAAACTAGAGCACAGGAGAGAGCTGCGTAAACACATCAAACAAGTTGACGTCTGACATTCGTTTCGATAGTCCGAGTTCAAATGCTCATCAAGATACTTCATTAAATGAACCTTCGAAGAACAGAACGAATTTAACACACTGCAACACTCTTTTTGTTGTGTTTGTTTTGAAGTATAGTATAGGTTAATTAATAATTAGCGTTATTAATATATACGTTGTGTTAGAAAATGTAAGCATATGGTGCAAGTAGGGGTCAACTCGTGAGAATAGACGTTTAAATGACGAATTTTAAAGGAAGAAATCGAAATGCCATGCTAAAAAAGAAGTTCATTAATACCAAAAGGTTGGCAACAACTTGAGGATTAGTAGATGTCGAGTGCCTTACGACCAGTGCTACAGAAAGGATTTACTTAATGGATATACGGCACTTGCATTTGGACAATAACAACGTCAAAAATGGAGATATGTGATGAGCTATTCTCCACTGGCTAATGATGTGTTACCTACGTATGTGCGCATACATGTACAATGCATCAATACTCCCCCATTAACTTCTTCGTATTATGACAGTAAATGGTTATTCGATATTCACATAATGTTTGTAAGGTGGTTTTGTGAAGCTGAAGTTTGACGTGCCAAGTTCGACATTGGTGTAAGTTTCATCAGCAAATGTGTGGGTCCAGATGGAAGTTCGATAATTACATTCACGTTGGTTTGTTCGGCAAGTGTGTGAGTGCAGTTGCATTTTTAATATGCCCGATTCATATGTTTAGGTTGAGTGCTTGATATTGAAAGTTTGTGGAGAAAATATATAAGATTGGAAAGCTTTATAGTTCAGATTAATTTAATATGAGTGTTGGTTTTTATTCCCTATGATTCTTCACTTAGCAGTAAAGTAAGTCGACGTTTCACATACGGGTGACTCCTTCCACAATTAAGACGCAAAACGAAAAAAATTAAATTAAGTTTGAAACTGCTTACGCTTTGAATTTGCCCATAATAGTCTTCTACTGGAAACTGTGTGATTTTGACTTCATACGAAAGGTTACTTTTAAATGGTAGTACCAGATGTACATTTGCATCTTTTAATGTTACATGGAAGTAATTTTGTCATTTCGTCGAAACGTAAATCAGGGGGACTACTGTGACGGATTCAGCGCTCTGTAAAATGCACGGCATTTCACAAATAAGTTTGTATAGCGAATAATGTGGATCCATTTGGATATCCGACATTGGCATAAACTTTAATCGCATTTGATATTGGTTCATGCATTTGGATGATGCTAGTCGTACTTGCCTGCCGTTTGTGCAGGAAATGCACAAACGTAAGAGATTAACAAATTGAAAAATATCGTGTCATCAAATTGGAAATCGAGAACGCCTGAGTATCCCGTGCTTTTATAACTTCGAAGTTCGAAATAAGTGATCGGGCTCATGATCTGTATCACCTGTGGGTTTTGTATGAGTTCTTTCTTGATCGTCATCATCGTCACGTGACACCTGGTTAACGGTGCAAACTCAAGAGACTGTTATTCTGTTATTTACATAACTACTCATCCGATAAAGGTGCACTCTTGACAGGTAATTTTGACAGAACCTCATATCTAATATGATTGAAAGTATTGTTCCCATAAGCAGGGGTGTGTGCTGCAGATAACAGGCATATATCTACAGAGTCTCACCAAAGGTAAGTTAAATGCGATTCACGTTGCAGGTTCTCTCTACAAAAAATAGAGTCTCAAATAGTAGCTGAGGTTCGTTTTACATTTTTTTGTGTTTTTTTGCATCAAAGCAATTTTGACATCAGCGAATTGATATTGCCAGCCCATCATCTTGTACAAGTAAATGTGATTCGACACCAACTTATCATAAGTCCTCGACTAAGTTCTTAACATTAAGTCTCTGTGACTTTTCTACAAGGCAGTGCAATATATCATCCTGAATAGTTCCATGAATATCGACTGATCCCAAATTACGAACAAATTAAAATCCATTTAGTTGTGAAAATGGTGACGTTCCAAATTGTATTAGAAACTGGGTAAAAGATATTAACTGATCCTTTGTTGTTTTTCCGCGGTAAGATAGTAATTGGCATTGGGACTATGCCGTCAAAGTACTTCGGCCAGTCTATTAAATAGGCACTTTTTTCAAAAAACGAAGATACAGTCATTATACCCCTTAATCTTAAAACTAGGCTTTTATGGCTCTACATCCTAGTCCCGTGTGGGGCAACGGGGGAGGGGCAGAATATCATTAGTTATTTGGGGGTTAATTCCTGTCCGATCGAGTCCCCTGCCCCCCTCTAAAAATATTCTGGGTGCGTTCATGCCATTTATGATGCTGTAATTATGGATTCTACACAAGGATACTGGGGAAAATAACATTAACCTTGTAGGGTAGTCATTTGCATGCCGCATGTTAATGGACGGTGCATCATTTCCACGGTGTAAATAATTAATTGCCGATCTGAAATGACTGAAGGTCCCAATTTATTTTCCCCGAGAGTGACGGTAAATTTACAAATAATGGAGTAATTTTGCAAAGAAATCTACTCATTGTTCACGATCTGTTGCAAGGACTCTATTTCAAAGGGTCTATGCAGTTTAGTTTGTGTGCGCTAACCGTGCATACCTACATGTATATACAGTGCTGACTTGTGATCAAAAGAAGTGCACACGATGCAGGAAGGGATAACGTTGTGTGGACTTAGCCACGGTCCACAGGACGTTTCCCCTTCTCTGAAAAAGAAGTTTAGAGGCATTTCGGGGTACAGTTATCAGTCGTGAAAGGAAGAGGAACAGTCAAAGAAACATTTTACAAATATCGAGCTGAAAATCTTGTTCCTAGTTTTTTAATTTTACGAAAATAAAGGAATGTCCATATTAGGTATGTAACTTGGGGGGTGTTTACACACAAAGGTTTGCGCACGTGGGGGTTAGTGGCTGTGGGCTTTTCGTTTTGTTTCAAGTTGTTTTGTTTTTAGTTTGCTGTTTAACCTTTGAAAATTTACCTTTCGCAGTGCATATTTCTAGAGTCATGAATAAAACTGTACTTTCATTCCGGGAGAAAACATCACTTTTGCACAGATTTGCTGGAATTAGGTGTCTTGCTGTATTAAATTTCCTTCCTTCACTGAATTATTGTTTGAGTTTTTGAATTAGCAAAAGAACAATCCTTTCTCAGAAACGTTTTCCATTAGCAGATTTTGGGTTCACAGTTTGACAGAAGTGGACGGAAAGTGTTCAATATGCGGCGAATAAAACTGGAGTGACCAGTCGAATACACCTAAGTGGGTGGCTGTAAACCTTCCAGATAAGTTCAATAATGGAATTTAAAAGTTGGGAATGTCATCATTGCACGTCATGATGTTGGGATCAACGACATAAAGAAAACAAAACGTACAAATTTATTCTTTTGGAACGTACCTCGGTGTTCTGTCACGCAGGCGCAGAATACAGTAAATTGATTTAGAAAACAAAGGACATGATAGAATTTAAAAACAATATAGATGAAAAGTTCAGTTCTTACCGAACAAGTGCATTTATCTTAAACTTTGCCTTTATGCACGTGTAAAATGAATTGGCCTAAAAAACCCATGTATTTTTGATGACCATCTCTCCATTGTTAAATAACGGCTCTCTGAGGTTAAATAACATTTGAGCATCAAATTAGCGATAATAAAGTGCTCGTACTGATTCTTTAAGAAATAATGCAGTTTAAAAGCGTGAGTTACAACTTGCGACGAGTGCGGAGATATTTCGAAATCCATACTTACAAGCTTGAAATGCATTTGATATAACAGAAGTATTTACAGTGTTCCGGAAATTTATTTTTCAACCCCTTAAAATACGCTTTTTAAGATTGGTTTGAAGCTATTAAAATAGAATAGGATGCCAGTTGCAACACGCAGAGTTTCCCCTCATCTAACAAATACTTGAATTTTCTGTATTATAAGAGCGATTTTAAAGTGTGATGAGCAAAATTGGAATAGTACTCAGGATTAGGTTGGTAACAAATTACAACAGTCTGATCTTCTGAAGAACCTCTCGGCAGTCTTTCCGGAATCGTCTGTTTGCAAGTCCATAGATCAGCGGGTTTACAGCATTGTTAATGTACAGAGTGATCGTCGATTTATACAGTAAGCTCATAAAAGTCGAGCTGATCGGCATTCCTTCGTACAATAGTGCCATGAAAGTCCAGAAGGGTAGCCAGGTCAGCAGGAACACCACGCTAGTGATTAAGAGCATCTTCGTGGTCTTACGTTGTAGACTTGCCGCTTTAACCTTTCTTGGATGCTCTCCGCGTTGGGGTTGTTGGCGGGAATGATTTCTTTTTTCGCCGTCTAAGGACGGGCAATGGATTTCCCGGTGGGACGACCAGACACCCATCGCTTCTTCTTTTGAACCTCGTTTCTGTGCTGCATCACTGAGGTTTGCAGTGACAGAAAACACCGTCACTGAACGATCTACAGCTGACTCACCACCACAGAGCCTTCTACCACGCTCAGGACGGTCCCCGTCGCCCGGCCCACCGGTGGACAAAACTCCGACTTTGCCTTGCTTGCGGATGGCTAAGTAAACTTTTACATAGCAAACAGCGATCATTGCCAACGCGGTCGCGAAGATGACAACTCGAAATGCCAGTACAATCAATTCCACGACCGCGTTGGAAAGATCAGTAAACATCGCTATACACGATGGGACAGTGATGATGAACGACAAGAAGAATGCAAAGATGACTGCAAGTTTGGCCCGTTTCTTGGTGAACACTCTGCTGTGCGGTCGGCACACACAATCGTAGCGATCCACTGCAATTAAACTTGTTATCAGAACAGAGGTAGCGACATTAATGGTTGAGAATTCATTGATGATGTTTAGCACATCTGGAATCTGGTCTCTTGCGATCAGAAGAGCTTCCATTGAAATTTCGGTCCACCTCATCGAGCAAACGGCCAGGTCGGCCCAGGCTAAGGCCATGATGAGGACGTGGGTGCTGGTCTTGACGGTCTTGACCCAGTAGACACGCAGGATGAGGCAGTTACCGGGCACGCCGAGCAAAAACACTATTAAATTGGCAGTGAGGCGGAATACGTCCCCACTGGAGCCCACGGGTTCTTCAGTCAGTGGTGGGTCTTGATGCGGCACGGTGGAATTCGCTACGGACAGATCGCCCATGATTAAATTCAACTCCACTTGCGTCAGCGATATGTAGAATGCAGCTATCGGTGATTTGACAGCGATATCTGAGAACGCATACGGGCTCGAAAACACTATCAAACCTCACTTCTATGCCTGCAGCTGGCAAACCAGTTAAGCTATAGTATGTCTCAGGCACGTACAACGTTCGTGCGAATAGCACACTGACTTAATTGTACTTCTTAGCTTAAAATACGTGGTATCTGGTACAGCATTGACTAACGCATGAAAAATTTACCAGTGGAACAACTCATGTCTTAAGAATAATTGCATGAGACCGAACGCAATTCTCCTGTATTAGTTCCATGGCAAAATACCATTCCCGTATCTGTTGCTATGGCAACATACTTAAATCCTCTCGTGCATACGGTTGGCTTGATTAATCGACGGCCTTCTTTTAATTTTTCAGTGGCAGTAATATACACTATGTAGTATAACGCAGTAGAGCAGAAAATAAAATACTGTTAAAGTTAGAAAAAAGTTGAGGGTTCCACCCCTCGTTCCCTTCTCTCTCTGTCTCATGTTTTTTTCCCCGTGCATTCCGTTCAAAACAAGATTCTGGTTTTAACAAGGTGAAGACTGTGTACTTGTATATCGACGACGATTCCGTTGTACATTAAGCTGCAATGCGTGATTTGTACAGCTATTGCGAAACAATGCCGTGGCCGGAAAGTGTAGACAGGCAAAATTCGTCATTCGTCAAATGCAAGTTCAAAATCGGGCCAATGATTATAACATCGGAGCTGCAAATGGATAATAAAATTAATGCAAAATCGGAACAGTGCAAAATATATCATCAAGGCAAACCATGGGGGAGAATTCTTTTACGTGTGGGAAAAACGAACTGGGCAATCAAATTTCAGAAAATCCTCCTTGACTACCCCCGCCCTTCTCAAAACCCGAGATACGCCACCGGGGCCTCATGATGTGCAGCGCTGTCTTAATATGGTCGCCATCAAGTCACGGCTAGTCCATTGCACATGACGCGCAGCCAAGCTGAAGCCCGATAGGATGCTGCGAACATTGCCGAAGAACATTCAAACGAAGCTGTACCGTTTTGACGAAAAGGATTCACGGACTTCAAGTGTAAGCATCGAAAGTTTATTCCGTTTTTTAATTTATTCAGCTTCGAAAGATTGTGTTTCCAATGTAGATATCCGTTAATCAATTAATTTACATGTATCTGTGTACCAAGATTTCTACTCGTTATTCTCATCAAAATAATGTCTGACAAGAAGACTATCTTATGAAGTACGAATGAAGTACACTCACTCAATACAACTGCAGTTGCAATGTGATCGTCTGAAATGTTCCGTTTGTTTTTGTTTTCTTTTTCGTCGTCACATGTATGTATCGGTGGGTTGATACGTGTGCGTTTCATGAAAGCTTTCGCGCTCGCCCTTCCACCACAACTGCCGGATTTTATGTTTGCAAGGCTGGAAGCCTATCGAGGGATCTTAGTCTCAGTATTTGCCTGTCAAACATCACATGTACACAACCTAGCCGCTCCCAACATGCTCCCGCTCGACGAGACGCTTCATCACAGGGCCGGGTTTTGGCCACGCCGTCATCATTACGATCCCACTGTAAATATTTGAGGCCGTTAATTAGATGCAAGATAACGGAATTGTGTTGAGCTCCCGTCCTATATAGCCCTAGTCACTGCTCGTTAAGTTCAGCAGTTCTTTTTAAAATTATGTTCTAGGCCCAAGTGATGGCGTGACAGTTGTTTCCGTCAGCTGTCAGTCGTCATACAGGGTCACAGAGGGTGGTGCTGTGTCGAAAATTGCGGCACAGGTAACGCTGTCCGATCCCACTAGTTTAACTCATCAGTGGCAGTCGCGTAATCAAGCCAGAAGTAATTCCGCATGGCAGATGACCTTTCGACTGAAGCCACCACTGAAGGGGGATATCCTTGAAACTCGTGCTTTGGGTTGTGATTGTTTCACAGGCAGAAACTGACGCTTTTCTTTGAAGGTAGTTGATGGGGGCATACTGCCAGGCTCTGGTAGTACTGCTGTACACGATACACCGATGCTGGAGTTTTCCTTCACTTTTTGCTGATATTTTTTTGAGTGAACATTTAAGAGTAAAATGCATTTTATCCTTGTTAATGACGTGTCATTTCAACTGGTCCTCATGGCCGGCTTGGTGGCAGGTTGCATGAATCCACCAGACTGGCAGGCTCAGGATTTTCAGACACGATCGCAGGAAGCGGATTTCATCATTTTGGGACGGGTAGTAGGGTTGACCCCGATGCCGGAGGAGGGGGACCCGCCGATGTCCCTGGGCTTCACAGCAGCAATTGATGTCCAGTGTGTGTACAAAACCCCAACAAACGACGCAGGCATTGCGAGCTCCATCACCGTTACTCCGGTCAACTTTACCATGAGCTGCGCCAAGACAGTGCTGTCTGAGGAAAGGGTGTATTTAGTGTTCCTGAGAAAGAGTGCTGGGAGTGGTGATTTCATGCCGGATGAAGTCAACCGGGAGGAGGCGCAGTTTTCTCCCGATGCGGCAAAACTTGAATACCTGGTAGCGACATATGGGGCCGGCAAGGACTCCAGAAGTCCGGGCTGTCCCAAAACTGATGCAACCGGGGACGGGAACTCAGACGGCCCTGTTGGAGGGAGAAATGACAGCCATATACTTAGAGGTGATGGCGGCGTCACTCAGGCACCGACGAATCAACACAGCCCAATCAAGACCGATGTGACTGATCCCAGAAATGGTTCAGATAAATCCATGGTTATGTCCATACATGTTTTGGTAGGAATCGCAGTCTTGGTTTCTCTCAGTAGTAACATCTAAAAGCATCCAACAACAGTAAGCCCATACTCTATAAGACGTCAAGCAAACCACTAGCACAAGTCCTTAGCACGCTGGTTTATTCAAAGTGTACCCTTGGCTTTCTATAGAATGCACACAAACCTCTGTTCAAACATCTGCTATGCAAAATAATAACTAAGTTTGTCAAAAATCCACAGACAGGAGTACCTTTCTGAACGAGAAACGAAGAGAACGTTTCTCCAACCCGGAAATGCGTATACCAGATTAGTTTCTAATATGTAACCTTTTAAATGATATATCCAACGTCCGCTCAAATACAAGACAACACTTTTTAATTAGTTTTTACTGGTTCAAACGATTAATGAAAACTGTGTATATAGGCCTACACCATGTTAATAATCGAGACTTATATGCAGGTTTGCATTTAGTGTATAGATTCACTTGATTTGAAAGGTTTTTAATTACAAAATAACGGCCAACACCTATAATACAAGCAGAGTATGCCTACATGTTACAATGATGGTGCGCGGTACATTTAGTTTTCAAAAGGGAGCTGTGTACCTCTCCGAGATAGATGTGTATAAGGGAAAATATTAACTTTGGTGCAGATTGTAAGCTGCTTAGTAAACACAAATGGATATAAAATGCATTTTTGAATTTTCATATTCTCGATATAAGCCCCAACACAAAAACTTGATCCAATGCAACTGATGTTAGCTACTTTGTCACACTTTTTTCATATACCTTGGCTCTACATGAGTCGGATTGAAATTCTGTATTACTACGGTCATTATGCATGTGCATACGTGAAACAGTTTCTCGTCGTGCAAGACAAGCTTTATGCCATCTTGCGACTTTATTAGATTAGGTCACATAGAAATATATGTATGTTGTAAGTCTACATAAACATAATTATACAGAAAACTCTTTAAGACGTTTTCATTACGTAACGAACTTAGAAAAGTATTTAAAGTCCAGGTAAATACGAATACCAATAAAGCTATACCATGCATTTTTACCAAAGAAATAATTCACTGTCAGGTTTCCGGAAAAAAAAAACATCAGTTTCCTAACCTTTAACGGCGACATTGGGCCAACTGCAGGGGGCATGGTCATCGAGGCTGCTTTTTGCACGTATTTTTGAGGCAAAACACGGGTGGTGGGGAATGTTAACCTTGCAAGGCAACTGTGGTGATCGATAAAGGGCCTTGGATTCAATCTGTTTGGGCAACCAGTTCAGGGAGGCGGCTGCTGCTCATTCTTTGCAGCTGAATTTTCAAGGGGCATCAAGACCCATTATTGTGGCTGGCTCCAAGCGCTGATGGTCCAGATTCATAGGGGTGGGGTTGTTTTGTTGGTAGGGTGCTAAAATTCGGAAGGGGTGAGACTAAATCTGGGAACTTTTTACAAGGTTTGGGAATGAATTAAGGAATGTGAAATTGTCCTTCCGATGGCTTTTTTAACCACATGGCACCGGATGACAAGTAAGCACACACACAATTTCCTTATTTGTTCCATATACTCGTTTAAAAATTATTTTTTCATTTCCAAGGTTGACGTATTAACGTTAAAGCGTCATGCTTGGTTGGGTCAGAGTGCGGGAGACGATCCTACACGTGGACACTGCTGGTAGGTAGACCCCCCCCGACTGTGTAACAACTACACATTTTCCTGATTTTTTTACGATACAACATTAAAACGTGACAAAAACAGTGTCTTACATGTCCAAGCATGTTTCTGGCTTTAGCTACATGTACATATAAGTACACGTACCCTACTCAAATTGAAGGCTTTCAACCTTTAAAATGTGTTGATGAACAACATATGGGAACCTGCTTCCCCATCCAGCAGGACCATGAAAGCCCGTGAGCCTTTCAAGGCACTAGGTACTGTACTTCTTATGCCCTTCTATAATAACCACTGAATGTTTTGCTTTGAGAGAAATATTCATCTGGTATATATTCCTACAGCCATTTGTTTTTTATCCAGACCCACTCTGTCTCATTTCCTTCCCAATGCCACTTTCACTGAAAAGTGTTCACTTTTCTGTTTTACCACACATTTGCATACCGTTTGCATATTGTTATTAGCTGATCTAGTTGAACCCTTTCTGATTGGACTAACACTCTGTAAGGTTTAATACATGTGCTAAATCTGTCCTATGGGTGCATAGGTAAGATCTTGGGTGGACAGGCGGAATCCTCTTGTTGTGACGCCAACACTGCCCCCTTCTTAGATTTTACAGTTCATGAATGATAACCGCTGAAAAAGAGAACCTTTAACAATCTAATGACTGCTGGGAGAAGAGTGCACTGTCGCATGCGCACGCTTTAAATGTACCAAAAATGGAACCAGCACTGAGCAGCAACTTGTGTGACTGCGACAGCAACAGCAGAGCATGTTCAGGGGTATGTGTGACTGAGAAAGTTGGCCCATGTGAGCCACGCAGGCATTCATCATTGAATAATTAGAGAAAATTGATGGGGATAGAACCAACACTGCAATGAGGCCAAAGGCAGGGATGCTACACATTCTGACATTTTTGTCCGAAGTTTCACTGAGGCACATGAGAAATGTTTAAACAATCAAGCATACACATACATGCACACAGAGCCAATAATGTGCATTTTGTACAGCGGTTCAAAAATTTAAAATTTTGCCTGAAATCTGGCTGTTGCACAATTATGAATTCATTTCCATCTTCTTAATTTATGATTGAAAACATATTTTTTCCACTCGTTTGCCTATGGCTGCACTTTTTATTCCTCATGTTTCTCCCATTGACACAACAATTGTTTCTGCTGACTGTGATTATTGCTGTCATGGTGGCACTAAGGGAAATAATTTACTGTTTACAGTATCACTAGACTGTCAGAAAAGCAGTACTTTTTCATAAGGTTCACCCAGCCTGTAACCATGCTTTCTTTCTTTGCCAACTCGCTGAGAAAGAACAAAGACTGACCAGGAAAGGAATTGAATTTTAGCCTATACATACTAAAAATGCCCCTTTTCGAAAAGAAATTTGATAAGAAGTGCTGCCCCTACATAAAAAGCAAAACACTTTTTGTTTTGCTCCTTGGTAAACTGCTTTACCAGCTGATGTACAGTAGATAGATGGCTTGATAGCTGTGTGCACTCAATGATTAACTGAACCACAGTTACAGTAGATCGATCAGATTCTCCTTGTACAAACGAGAGCCTTCACGACTGACAGCATCCTTTGAAAGCTGGAAAATGTCAAAAGGAAAAACAAAAGAAAACAAAACAAATTTAAATAAGCAGGGCAGCAAGAGAATCAACCGAGTTGCTGTGCTGTACTTTAAAACACCATTATGTACAGTTTACACATTGCCGAAGTGCATCCAGGAAGTGGGTCACCGGGGCAGGGACGCTGGCACTGTACTAAGAGGCATTTTTTTTGTTTCAAAAAAGACTGTCCGAATTCATCCATAACAGAAGCTTCCAATCTTCTCAACAATGGTTCTTTCAATTCCTTAAAAAAAAAGATTACCGTAACAAAAACTGGAAAGTACTACGTACATGTATGTGCGGTAGACGTACTACATGTACATGTACAAGTATTATAAGCTAAATCACATGTACATGTATTATAAGCTAAATCACATGAACATGTACATGTATTATAAGCTAAATCACATGAACATGTACATGTATTATAAGCTAAATCACATGTACATATATTATAAGCTAAATCACATGTACATGTATTATCAGCTAAATCACATGTACATGTATTATAAGCTAAATCACATGTACATGTACATGTATAAGGGTATACGGTACATGTACTCGATCTTCTACTTCCACGGTGCTCTGCATTATCTACCTGTCTACTGGGTGTATATTTTTATACACGTGTACACTGCACAATATACATGAACAAGACAACTCCCCCAAATTAAAATTCATGTAATACTAGAGTTGGCAAGGTCTTCTGCCATTGTCATTTGATCTGCTTTGATCAATTCAAGTGGAAAGGCAATGTCCCAGTGCTTGTCTGCTTTCATTAAATTGATGGATAACCTGGTTAAGCCAACCTTGTTGGCTCCTCAAGTCTTTTCAGACTGATTACTTATTTCATCAAGTTGTCTGGATGGTACTGCATTCTGAGTTCACTCCTTCTGTTTATCACACTTTCATCAACTTGCCCTGATAAATTACTTTTTCAAGTAACTCTCAAGAAAGACATGTTGCTTGAGAAAATAAATCTCTACAGTATGTAGTATTAAGTGAAGTTGTCATTGAGATAAGACTAATTCTGCATGTACATCTACAGTATCTAAATTATGATTTGGCTGAAAAACACAGATAATCAAGTGTAATGACATGAAATAGGCCACTTACAATATTACATGTAACTTTGAATTACTGATAGTTTCTGATTTCAAAAATGACATCACTCAAAAGCATATGGATGTGAATTTCCATACAGCTGTATGGGATATTGGTTTGGTTTTCTCCTCAGAAAGTTTGTACAATAACTATGACCATAATTTAAGGTTGAGGGTTTGAATTTGTCAAAGCTTATTCGTCCCATCCAAGTGGGCACACAACATCATTTTAATGAGGAAAACGGGTCGCAAGACTTTGTTTTGAAATTGATCCAACATTGTAATCATGAAATGGTGTCAGACAACATTGCTTTAATGTTTAAACATTGAAACAATGTGGTGCATGGACCAGGATTCCTGTAACAAGTGGTTTTTACCTTTGCTAAATACCACAAGTTTCGTTTAAAAAACCAGCACTCAAAAAAGTATCCCAAAATCAGACTTTGGCATAATAAATAAGCCCTTTACTCATCAAGTACCAAGCTTAAAGCAGGACACAGTAAGTGGTGAGCTTGACACCAAAAAAAAATTATTGTTTCCCATTTTACTGCAAATAATTAGAGTGCACAGGTAGGTAAAATTTGGAGGGAGACATTTCTTCGAGGGGAGGGGGTGCTTTGAATTTTTTAGACAAAAATATTAGCCTGGAATGATGGTCAGTTAGGGCCGGCGACCATTTAGACCCAGTTTGAAAAGGGCCCCCCTCCATAGCCCACCCTGTATAATGCCTGCCCGGTATTCAGGCTACTCCAGGCCGGTATCAGGCCTGTCTGCACATGGGCATTTCAAAGTCCCTGATGAAAGGCTTCCCCCCCCCATGCTTCCACAGATGAATAGGGGTCTAAGCAGATTAGTGTAAACATTGTATAGAGCTGAAGGATTAAAAACCACAAGCAGCTTCCTTCTGGGGTAGATTACATGTACCAGTACTTGCAAACAATAGACCCCAGGATGGAGACATTCCAGATCTACAACCAGTCCACTCTCCCAGGCCGGTAGCCAGGCCGGTAGCCAGGCCGGTAGCCAGGCCGGTAGCCAGGCCGGTAGCCAGGCCGGTAGCCAGGCCGGTAGCCAGGCCGGTAGCCAGGCCGGTAGCCAGGCCGGTAGCCAGGCCGGTAGCCAGGCCGGTAGCCAGGCCGGTAGCCAGGCCGGTAGCCAGGCCGGTATGAAAGGGGTTTTTGCAACAGGGCGAGCTTACGGGGGGGGGTCCTTTTCAAACCGGGTCTAAATGGTCGCTGGCCCTAACTGACGATCATTCCAGGCTAATATTTTTGTCAAAAAAATTCAGAGCTTTTTGTGTTTTCACTTATTGGCGACCATTTACAAATGATGACATACATGTAGGATTGAATACATGTACATAATATATAATACTAATGTACCATACTGTACGTGTACGTGCACTACTTGTACATGTACGTGTATTATTGGCACTGTGTACATGTAGTCACTGGACATGCTGGATAAGTGATGGCAGATACATGTACCATAGAATGCCTAAAATTAGAAAGGGGACAGTTGTCACTGTGGGTACAAATACACAATAACAAGCTGACCAAAGCAAATAACAAAAATACAGAGCAATGTGCACAAACATACATGTAGGCTCTAAACTTTTTTCAATCAATTTTTCAAACAAATGGCAGTGGTTGTGACTGATGTTCTTGTATCTATTAATCAGAAACACAACAATTTCTTGTTTGGTTTTTATCTAGGGACAATCATGACAATAGGAAAAGTTGACTTACATGTACCTTTTCTTCTGGATCTGGAATGATATCAACGAGCTGAAGGGAAAAAAATCAAAATAACACAGTTGAAGTACAATGTGTAAAGCTTAAAAGCTCTTCCCATGGCAAGAAACCCATGCCCCTGGGACTCATTTGGCACAGTATGGACATGTGTAAGAACTCAGCTGTAATGGCATGGTATAAAATAACTCAATGATGTAACCGCTTGTCACAACTCCTGTATTGCTGCATTTGATGTTTGAAAAAAATGGAGTTAAGTAACAATGGTATTAAGGGTCCTCCTTTCTGAAGGGGTCCTGCGTGAAGTACAGTAGAAACAATGATTCACATTGAAGGAGTTGTGTAGCAGAATGCAAGGAAGCAAAGTTCCGTTTTTCATTATGAGTTGATAAGACAAGGCTACTGCTTTTAGAAAAAAGCTACATGTACATGAATGTGCATGTGCACGTATATACACGTGTACTTTTTTTTTCCACTAGATTTTCGTTTGAGAGAAAAATCTTGTGGTCATAAACTCGTCACTTTGAGAAAAAGAGTGGAACAAATGTACCGGAACATAGATTTTAATTTTGCTGGGTTCTGAAAGAACTGGGGTTTTTAAATGGACTTACATGTAGCATTAATTCTCTCATTTCACAAATGTGTTAGAGCAAGTTCTGTAATAACTCTTTCCTGTCAAGCCACCGGCAATGTTTAGTGTCACACTGTTACCATGGTAACTGTGTCCCAATTACACGTACATGTCAAACCACAATATACATATACATGTATCGGTATATTTCTGCCATTTTCAATTAGCCAAAATATCTCACACATGTAGTGAATAGCCACATTCCTTAAATCTGAAGACCTCATCATACTTTGCAAAATCAGCAGAACAGGTAGAATCGACCAGGAATTATTTGGCTAGTTTTGCTACTTCATTCAAGTTGAGCATTACACACGCCATTTGTGTCCCTTGTTAGAGAGTGAACACAGAAGCCCTGGTTAGAATCTGCGCCTCACGTTTCACCTCTGCTTAATGTAAAACTAAAGCAGTGACCAACACTACCATACTGTATTATGGAGCAGAAATAAAATTACTTGACACGCTAGAGGGCAGAAAATATATTTATTAATTTATTTGGCTTTGCTAACACTACATGTATTTAGCAGCTCAATAGTTGAACTGTAGTAATTTATAATGAAACAGTAAATTAAACAATTACAATAGATACAATTCAACAGATACAAATCTACAGTCTACAGGTACAAACCATTATTTTGAAAAAAAAAACAAAAACAAAAAAGCCAGACTAGATGATAGAAATTCAAAAACAATTTCCAGTGTAAACAACGAGGCAAGAACCACTTCCCCAACCTGACTCTCCCATTTAAGAAATGACTTATACCTGTAATGGATAAATAAAAAACTCACCAGGCCAACAACTGGGGAGTTTGTCTTTCCTTCCTGCAGGTTAGTCTTGGTCTCCAGTGGGGCCCTACCATCACATAGAGTGACCTCTTTGGTGCAGGCTGGAGACGAGTCCAAGTCCAGCTTGATAATGGCCTCTTTGGCTGTGGGTGGAGCTGGCTTTGGAGGGGGCGGAGAGCCGGAGGGACTGGAGGTGGTGGTGGATGTCCTGAGCGCACGGAACTGTACAGGACTGAGGATAGGTCAGACAGAATCAAGATCAACGGTGTTGCTTTTGTTCATGAATGCACAGTAGATATGGTAACTTTACACTGATGTAAAGTTTCACGCCATCACACATGCTTTGAGTACATGCCAATATGAAAAACTCCTGAAGGTTTGGCATGATAAAAACAATGCACTGCGGTGACCTCAGAGAAAATGTACAATAGGAAGGGGGGGAGGAAGCTGAATTCAGCAACGCCCATCCAGCCCTCTTGGAAGAAAACGGAGCCTGAAAGTTGACCCCTGATGGCATGCTTCTGGAACCCTTGGATAGGAAAAATAATGTGCAAAAACATTAGAATTTACAACATTTTTTCGTTCAGTTACTTCTTAAAAAATCCCAACTCGGAAGGGCTTTGGAAAATATTTGCTAGTGCGTGTACATGTATATCAATTTATAGAAACAGAACAATACCCGACGTAAAAAAGAAAAATCCTGCCAAAAATTGCGCATCACTTCCAGAAATCTAAAATACACGAAGAACAGTGCAATGCGGCAGTCTCGTACTCAGATGAACAATTACAGTTGGAAATTTTATGGTAGTCTGTAGGTACATGTAGAAGCCAAAACAAAAACAGATCAAAATATTTTACAAACTTTTTTAATTTATGCAGCAATAAACTTAAAGCAGTAATCTACTTTTATGAAAGATTCTAATATTTTATCTTGGCTTTGCTGACAAGAACATGTCATGTCAACTCAACAGAATCTGGAACCCATTGATTGCAAGTGGGTAAACCTTTGCAACGTTTTACAATCTCGTTTTCTTGTAAGCACAGGGAGTGAAAACAAACGTGCATGAACAAGGAGACCTAGGTACAATACCGCCGGAAGTGAAAGGTCATTAATGAAATTCGTTATTTACCCATCTCAAGATGACTTTTCCTAAATATTACTTGAGAATACAGGTGAAATTCCAACATGAGTGTTTTATGGGGGGGTTTCAGTTTGGAATCACTCTTCCAAAATTATCGAACGTGATACATGTAGGAAGGCCCAATGTAAAATCCCCATAGGCGGACCACGTGAGGGTTCCGGAAGCTCGCTGTGTGACCTTTTACTTTCTCAGCATGGGACAAGTTCGAGGGATGAAGTTGTCAACAACTGGTTGATTCTAATCGGTACCCAGGATATATTCTATGCAGAGGTTACAATCAAGTAAAATCGGTGAGTGGTTAGCAAATGATTGTCACTTGGACTTGTTACGGTCTTAAAACTGTTAATCTTTGGCTTGGGTAAACTGATAAATCTGAATTTTTTATAGTCTGACCAAACAACCTGACACATGCTCAGCCTACAGTTTCACCTGTATGGTGTGGACATGTACCTGGGGTTGGATATGGTGCTGCTGGTGGAGCTTAGTCTCGAGGAAGACGCAATGGAACGCCTGGAGGGTGTCGGGATGCCAGACCGGCGCCACATTGAGCTAGCACTTGCTGGCACCACCTTGGAGTCAGAGCGGGACGGGGTTGAAGGGGGCATCAACTTGGACTGTGGGGTGGGCATGGTGGAAGTGCTCAGTGATCTGAGGAAAGAAACAAATGACAGGAAAGCACAGTGAACAACTGTCAGAGCTGTATATCGAGTTGCAACATGCTATGTGTATGATATGGTGTAAGATGCAGTGCTGTTGATGGACTGCAGTTGAGTGTACATGTAGCACTGCACTCATGCATTGAAAAGTGGCAGCTACCGTACCTGTATAGTACGCTGCTTCATGTTGAGATAACAAAGTATCATATTTAAATGCATGCAAAATTTGGAGCCAAACGGCTTCCAATCTGAAGTTGTTGCAACTCTATCTAAACTCAGCTTTCACAACTGCTGGTGTATTTCAAATAAGACTGTAGAATCAAGTACCAATTTTAGCGTGCAACAGCATGAGTGGAAAACAGTTGGTGATGATAAAACAAAAGAAAGCCTTTGAACATGAATACACACAGGTGCAATGTTGCACAAATGTACACGTACAAGTGCTACTCTGACGTCTCTACATGTACATGTACAAGCTGCCACGGTAGGGATCATTCTATTGATCCAGCGGTCTTTCTTTATACCTACACGCAGGCTTCATTATGTATGTTGTAACACCTTTAAAAACGGTTCTGCTACAGTATGTGGCATCACAAATGGTTCCAGATGGGGAAAATCCCTGCTGAAGGAACACAAGCCCTGCACTTGGACTTTGGGGGGAAAAAGAGGAAATTCTAATCTTTACAAGACTTTGTACAGTGCTTTTCAATTTTCAATGGCATGAGTGTGAAAAATCAGCTGATCTGAGGAAAAGTTGCATGCCTGCATATTCCACGTATGTTTCATCATTCATCATAGTCACTAGGTACAGTGTAAGAGAGTGAATGCATGAGACGGACAAAGAGAGAGTACAGGACCCACTACCTTGCTGCAGGCTTGCTGGCAGACTGCTCGTTGGTCAAGAGTCGCTTAGGGACAACCTTCTTGTCTTGATGTACAGGAGTGCTCACTGTTGGAGTACAGAGCTTACGACTTGGTGTCTGCCTAAGGTTTCCTGCAAGCAACAGTGAGAGATCAAGTTACAAGGGGATAAATTCTGGATCGTACTTGTACATGTACATGTATTTAAAATACCTGTCCAGATCACTGTACAGGGTCTGCTCTAAGCAGTCACTATTTTGTTACCTCTTTATTATTTATTCTTCCCCACCTACATGTACATGTACATAGGGATTTACATGCAAGTTCATGTGTACATGTACGTGTACATGTATGTATTGCCACTTGTGAAAGATAATTTCCTGAATATTTGGCTAAAATAATACTAAGAGTACTGAACAGAAGCAACTATCTCCTCTGAAATAAAAGGAGTTTACTGTCTACAAATAAAAATTAATTTTGCTGGTGTATGATGCAGCTTGTATTGCTCCATCGCTGGGTCAGAAACAAGCTAATAAGTGTGACAATGCCATACAATACATCAAAAGATCTCATTGTAATTTTGATAAAACATTGTACTTGTTCTTGTACAAAACACAGTGCGTTTGATAAAAATCTCTAAATGTCAGAAAAATATGAAACACAGGCTGACATTAACCACTTTCTGCCGGGGACTCCGGAATCGGAGACGTATGGTTTATATAGGTGGCCGGGGTCTCCGAACTCGGACAAAGGAAACAGGGCCCTGTAACAAAAGACCGTACTCCGAACAAAAGATCAGGCTGCTGGGCATTACCGACACTTTTCACTCTCAAAAGCCTTCTTTTGAAACCGTATACCAGGGTTTGGGGCATTGAGAGCCACCGGGGACAAAAGCGCTCCACCACCACAGCGATGAGCCACACAGCACCACTGCACGCTAATCTGGCCCCTATTGAAAAGAGGTCAGCAGTGCACTAAGCCAGGTTCGAAAACAAAAGACAGTTATACAAGACTGCACAATCTGGGCTCTGTTTACAAGGCTGCTCACCTGGCCGAAATACTCGGGCGTCAATGAAGGTCACCATTAAACTTAGAGTTGTGCCTAAAGATTACTTGGTGCGGCTATAAACGACCGTTAAATGAAATGAATTTTTGAAGGATTTTGAAAACTGAAAAAATGATAGGCATGCTTGCCCAGCATCATCAACATTGAAAAATACCTCGGCATGAAGTGGTTAACATCCTTGAGTACCACAAACATGTACCTGCTTTCTTTGGTGTGGCTTCTGAAGCATCTTTGTTGGCACTTGGAACTTTAACCAACCCAACCACTGCTTTGACAGGCTGCGGCCTGTTGGCTGACTGCAAGAACCCACGCTGACCGGGCTTGACCGGTTTAAGCTGGCGGCTGGCCTGCACTACTCGGCGCTGCAGTGGGCCCTGCTGCAGCAGCCTGGGCTTGGCTGCTGGGGCTTTGACACTGTTCACTGCTGCAGCTTCAGGGGAATTTATTCCAGAAGAAATTACTGTTATGCTTGTTATTAAAAGAAAGCAAAATTAAATACACATGCAATTTAGTGTTGACACCCAGCTAATACAGTATATTTAATACTGTACCGGTACATGTTCTCACTATTTCTCACAAATGCTTACTGTATACCGTGTAATGCAAGATCTCTTTTCACACAATTGGGTTAAGTATGTGACTTGCAAAACACACATTTTGCATGACTAAAATAATTTTAGGAGGAATATATGTAAGTTTCCCAGTTTAAAGAATTAGAATTATTTACACACTGTATGTACACATGAGCGCACGGTGATCAAGTACACCAAACTGAATAATAACGGGAAAAAAACACTTTTGGATTTGCATCACTTTAGTAAATTCACAGTTGCGCAAGTGGCCAGGCACCATGAAAATATGTTACATGAAGTTTGATAACAGATTTTTACAAAGAATATACATGTAGATTTGTACCACTGCTTTAAAATTAATGAAGATCATGAATGAATTCTGTACAGCGTGCAAAAAATGCATTGATCAGGAAATACATGTACGACTCAAAAGCATGCGCCTGTCACTCAGCAGGGTAAGGCAATGAAGAAATAAGACCCTTCTCAGCAATCTTTATTACCTTTATCTGTTGATTTATGCTGGGAGGACGCAACAGTGGATGAGGAGGTTGCAGCTTTGGTTGGTGGATGGGGCCCAGTGGTTCCCTGCAAATTTAGTAAACAAAGCATTTGTTATGATGGCCAACACTCAAGTTTAATAATTTCTTTTGAAAAGGACCCTTTGCTTTTTGAGAAACAATGCACATGCACATGAATTTTGGGGACATACATGTACACTCGATATTTTACCTATTTTGTGGGGACCACAAACGTTGTGGGGATTCACAAGTGTCCCCACAACTCGGTTCAAATTTCCCTAACAAAAACAACTTGTCCCCTGAATGCAGTGAACGCCTACCTGTACATACATACATGTACAGTACCTGTGTGTATAGCAATTGCTCCCAGAATTTTTGACGATAGAAGGTGTTTCCTTCAGTTCTTTGCCCCCCCCAGCATGTCAATTTCAACAGAAAAAAGCACAGAAGTCTGTGGAGAGTCCTGATTGTTTCAAAGGTACTAGTGTTACCTGTACATGAACTGTGCCATACTGTAAGTGAACACGGTGTATATATTCAAACACTACTTACATCTACATGTATGTGTACATCAGTTGTTCGCCTGACCAACATGAGGCTGAGGTTTTTCTCAATCACATCATTGGTCTACTAAGGGCACCACACCTTAAAAGCGACTACATGTACGGTACATGTACACCCATTGTAGTGTAGTCGAACCTTGGTAATACGAGATTCTGCTTATAACAAGGACATTTTTAGGTCCCAATCCTTTGTTTTACATTGTTTTTATTCCTGTTAACCACTTCCTGCCGAGGACTCCGGAATCAGAGACATATGGTTTATATGCGTGGTCGGGGTCTCTGAACTTGGACAAAGGAAACAGGGCCCTGTAACAAAAGACCGTACTCCGAACAAAAGACCAGGCTGCTGGGCATTACCGACATTTTTCACTCTCAAAAGTGGTGATAATCCAGCCTTCTTTTGAAACCGTATACCAGGGTTTGGGGCATTGAGAGCGAGCGGATTACCACCGGGGACAAAAGTGCTCCACCATCGCAGCGATGAGCCACACGGCACCGCTGCACGCTAATCTGGCCCCTATTGAAAAGAGGTCAGCAGTGCAATGAGCCAGGTTCAAGAACAAAAGACAGTTATACAACACCGCACAATCTGGGCTCTGTTTACAAGGCTGCAGGCCTGGCTGAAATACTCGGGAGTCAACGAAGGTCACCTGTCAACTTAGAGTAGTGCCTAAAGATTACTTCATGCGGCTATAAATGACCGTTAAATGAAATGATGAATTTTTGAAGGATTTTGAAAACGGAAAAAACGATAGTCATGCCAGCCCAGCATCATCAACATTGAAAAATGCCCAGGCATGAAGTGGTTAATACAAGGTTCCTGTTATGACAAGGTAATTTGCCAAGTCCTAAAGACATCTTATAAATGAGGTTCAACTGTATGTCACTTCTTACCCACCTTTGTGTGAAAGCTCCCAGGTTGAGGACGCTTCCCCTTCGGTTGCCCCAGGGACAGGCTTGGAGTGTCTGAGGTCTCCGAGGCCAAGCTGCTGCTGGCTTCCGAGATCAGGTCCTCGGACTCGCAGCTGTTGAGCCGCTTGCGCTTGGGGGGACTGCTCAGCTTTTTCCGCAGGAGTTTGTCGGTGCTCGTACCACTTGACGGCTACAAATGTGTGTATGCATACAAACAAAATACAGGATGAATTCCTGTTGCTTAGGCCGACTGTCAAGTGCTGCGCTGCTAAAAAAAGTAATGATCATTTTCTTGCACAGGTACATGTACGTACGACAAAATAATACATTTTCAGATGAAAATGACAGAAATCCGTGAAACATTAATACAGACCTTGACAAGCAAAACCTGAAGAAATTACAAGTACATGTACATAACGGTACTCATGCAAGCTTCAAATTGCAGCTATGGAGACAGTAATGAACATGCGCACATGTACATGTTACGTGTACTGGCACGTACATGTACCATGACCGTGCCACTGCACGGGGCTTGGTCTTTGTTTCAATGGAAATATTCCCACAGAGAAAGTGCAGATGACTGAAGTTTTCATAAAAAGGACCTTTCTTTCAAGAAAGTACTGCCATGCCATACATGCATATAGAGCCATGTACAGTAGCTGTGCTAAAGACTATTTATTGGTCCATGTACCTGTACATGTACCAGTAATTAACAATGTTCAGGCATGTACCATGTTAACATGCATTTATATGTACTTGACACATGCTGATTTGCTTGTTTTCTTACATTAGGAGGTGGTACCAGCTTCTTCAGTCCACCCTTCAATGGTAGTTTGGATCTCTGTGTTCCTTTCACGGGCAACTTGGACTTTGGTGCCTTAAGCGACAGTTGTTTATTACTCTGTGCAGCAGTGAAAGTCAAAGTCTGGGGCTTGTCCCTGGCCAGTTTGGACACGCAATCATCAGCCGACGGCAAATGTGGGGGTGGGGGTGTATTTGCTGGGCTGACCGATATTGTGTAGGTCCCACGGCGCGGGCTGCGCATGTCCTTACGAACCAGCCTCTTGAAGTTCCTGACATCGGTCTTGCCGGGCAGGTTGGCAACGGCAACCCTCTCTATATGGCAATCTGACACCTCAGTGGAGGGTTTTGCACCAGTGGACTGTTCTGATTGCTTTTGGCTGTCGGCAACTACACCCCCAACCGTGGATTCTTCCGTTTTCTTTGAAAAGTCATCGACTGCCCCTGTTTCTTTGCCTGTGCATCCCTGGTCGTCAGATCCTTGCGACGCGTCCCTTTTCTTCTCCTTTGTCAGCTCCATGGCCACCTTGTTGGCCTCCAGGAAGAGTTCCAGGTACTGCTCAACATTGAGAGGGCTCATTGGCTTGCACTCATTGGGCGACTGGCTGTGGAGTTGAGTCTTCTTGGCAATGCAGGCTTCAGTGAAACCAACTGGGCCAAAGAACACCTCATCTTCATCGTCCACTTCAACCTTTTCACTAGTAAAAAGAGAGAGTCAAACATCACTGCTACATGTACAAACAGTGATTAATTAGGTTGGTGACAAGAATATAATATAAAATCAGTGCTCTGGAATATGTGATTGCCGAGCTTTCGGTAACTGTGTACATGTACCTTCTTCACGCCAAGCAGATTCAGTTCTGAATAAACGCAGAAACCTCCACGTTCATTCCCCCTGGATGCAGCATTCCAAGTTTGAAAATGACGCGCTGCTCTAGTTCTTTAGGCTGTACATCGGATGTCGCTTTCCGCAGGATGCAGATGCTTCAGTCACTGAAAGTATGTGGCAGCGCGCAAAAGTGCTGCGCAACAGTGAGACCAGGTGTTTGTTGGCGCACACTGCGCAAGTGTTCCGCGAAGCGGTCACCAAGGCAATGTTTGGTCTCTCCATTGTACAGTTTACCACAGCGACGACATGTAAATTGCAATAAACCACATTACTTGTAATGCATGTATGATCCCCAAGTATTCTGTAGCTAATGTGGGGGCCGACGACTGACGGGCTGTTAACTATGATGGGGCAGGTGTTACATCAGGGGCGCCGACAAGGGGAATGGCTGCCTGCTTTTGACGGCGGGACGGAATCCAACCGGGAACATAAAACCATGTTTCTGACAGAACGATCACGCCTAAATGTGCCAATTGGGGGTTTGGTGAAAAATCGAAGCTGTGGCCACATTATTTCCGTGTGTACGAAAATGTTTGAGAAGAACATTACATACCGAGATATTTCGAGGGTGGTACATGTATGTGAGTATGAGGGGGACGAGATCATGTTACTTGGCCCCGGTGGGTTTCAGAGCTGTTTCGCACTGGATTGAAGATGCAGCATTGAAGAAAGCGTCTGTGATAGCCAGACGGTAACTGCGCTGATAAAAGAAACCTAGCATTTCCTTCCCAAGCGCAGAGAACTCCACATCTACTACAAATCCTATGCAGTCTAAGAAACTGAGAGTTCTTGCACTTGAAGGGGTGAGACGATTGGTACTGCAGGTACATGTACAGTGTAGCTGTGGGAATCTGTGGGTCTGTAATGCACGGTTGTGCCAAGTTTCCGCGCACAGATCTGGATGCGCAAGTTGAGGAAGGTAACAGAGTGTTGCAACACATCAGATGTGTAGCACAGTGTTGGGTGAAAAGCATCCGCAAATGCTAAGAAATTCTCAACGTCATCACACGTACCGGTGATAGCACCAACAATATAATCGATGTATCGCCGGTACATTAACGGCTGCACGCCCTGATACTGAGTCAGCATCTGTTCATCGTTGTGGCCAACAAACAGACAGGCATAACTTGGTCCCATCCACGCGCCCATAGCCACACCACTGATCTGAATGTAGTGCTCACTGTTGAATGCAAAGTTGTTCAACGTGAGCACCAATTCAGCCAGATGGAGCAGAGTGGTGGGAGGATCCTGAGTCTGGCGGAGATCTACATGTAGGTAGTGTTTGAGCGCAGCCAAACCACCCACGTGGGGAATGGATGTGGAGAGCGATTTCACATCCATGGTGAAAAGAAAGTTGGATGAACCTGGGAACTCAAATTCGTCGAACAGATGCAGAGCGTGATTAGTATTCTTGACATACATGTACATGTAGCTGGGGAACGTTTTGACAATGGGTGTTAGACTGGTGTCAAGGAAGTTGGATACCAATTCAGTGGGGCAACTACAAGCAGACACAATGGGGCGGCCTGGATTTCCGAATTTGTAAATTTTGGGTAGCAAGTAGAAGACTGCCATGCGTGAGTTGGGAATGACCAGTTTGGTTGCGTTAGGGGGAGGTCACCAGAGTCAATGAAACCTTGGACAGAGCTAGCAACAATGTCTTAATGCGGTCAACCTTAGCGTAGACTGCTGTGCGCGGGTCAGCCCCCGCGTTAGCTACAGAATACGCGGGGATCATACACGTACATGAATTACAAGTAATGTGGTTTATTGCATTACATGTCGTCGCTGTGGTAAACTGCACATCGGAGAGACCAAGCGTCGCCTTTGTGATTGCTTCGTGGAACATTTGCGCAGTGTGTGCCAACAAACACCTGGTCTCACAGTTGCGCGGCACATTTTTTGTGCGCCGCCACATACCCTCGGTGACGTAAACATCTGCCTCCTGCAGAAAGCATGATCCGACATACAGCGTTAGGACCTAGAGCAGCGCATCATTTTCGAACTTGGAACTCTGCATCCACGAAGAATGAACATGGATTTTTCTGCGTTCATGCAGAACTGAATCTGCTTGCCCTGAAGAAGGTACACAGTTACCGAAAGCTCGGCAATCAAATATTCCAGAGCACTGATTTTATATTATATTCTTGTCACTATTCTGATCACGGTGCTACGCAGCCCTTCTATATGTATTGATTAGGCTGCCTTTATTCCGCCAAACTGTACGGTACTTAGTGGTACACGTACATGTAGGCTACTGCCAAGAAAGCTGCAAAACCGGGTTCCCAGAAATTACGTTTAAAGTTAATAAATTTTTCAAATTCAGGTTTTGCATATCTTTCTCAATTCTCATCAAACATTGAAAATTGTTATCTATAGCAATGGCCCATTTTGCTAATCATGTGGAGGGCATTGTATAATGTCAGAAGACCTAAAAAGCTGAAATTGCCTAAAATCACAATTTTGGGCAGACTTGTCAACTTGTCAAACCAACATGACCAATGGCGTCACAAAGTAAACAAAGCATACAGGTACATGTACAAGTAAAAACATCAATTAAAGTATTTAAAAATGAGGCCTGGGCTGTGCATTGCACTTTAGGGGCACGTGGCCTGGTGGTTGCAAAAACAAAGAAAAACCCCAAAACAAATAAATTATAGAACTAGTCGCAAGAATTCAGGAAAATGATTCCCACTGGCATGTCTTTCAAAATGAAATAAAACACACAAAATTTGGGTACACACATATAATGTACATGTATCCATGTCCAAGTAAGTGATTTCAGAACGTGCATCATTCTTACCTCTCCACTGGAGACACTGGCAGGTCAAAATCAAACTTTTCTCTATCGATCAGATGTTCATCTTCAAGGAAATACATGTATGTAAAACAAAAAAAAGGGACAGGATAAATCTGTTGTGTAGCTTTTTAATAGACAGTTTACAGTATTATTGGTACATGTACTGTACATACATGTATGTGGCAAAGAGTACACGTGGTAAAGAGTACACATGTGGTAAAGA